TCCTTCATTGACTGGCTTGTTTCACTTTACATTTCAAAATTTTAAGCTTTTAAATTTTTTCAGATAATGTCACAGGTTGGATTATTTTACAATTGATTGATTCATGCCTCTCATAAAAAAATAGCCAATGAAGTTTAAATTTCATCGTTAACAACTGGATTTCCCCTTAAAATATGATGCACAGTATTTATTGTGTAGAGTTAAGAACAAAATTAAAAGTGTGTTCAGCTTTGGGGTCTGCTAGGCTAAGTGTTCTGATGCACCATTGAACCTCAGACTACATGTTTTTACTTAACGCATAATCAAATTTATTCATGTCATCATGAAATGTGCTTAAAGTCAGTCACAATTACCGAAGAAATGAAAGACAGACAATGCCAGTCTGCCAGTCAGTGCTAAAAATTCCTCCACACAAGCCGAGAGGAACGTCCTCTGAGAGCTCCTAAGAAGCTGTTTCAAGAACTCTTGAAGCACATGACAGACCGTCACCCTCAGATGGATATCTTCACCTTCTGTGATTGCTGTGGCCTCCTTCTAATCCCTTTAGCATCCTGCTGAAATGGCATTTATAAACAAAACGTAGGGAATGGATCAACAACAATACTGTCAAATATCTAAGTCAACAGTTTAAATCCTCCAGTCCACTTCCAAGTTCTGAACCTGCAGATTCCTCTATCTTTCAAAAGGCTTTTCATACATATGCTAATTTCAAGGCTGTCATGACTAGATTGTGTCTCAAAAAAATTTTTTTTCACTATTGTCAGAAATTTAAGGCAAGTAAAGTGAGTTTTCTAGCCAAGTAAAGATGAAAAACAACTTCTTCCCATTAATAAATAATTGATACATGCCTTTTGACTTAACTCTTTGTGTCCAAGTAAATATCAGAGAATGTAAATTTCTAACTTTTCCTCCCTTGTAAAAATCTATCAAACCAAAATATTTTACACACATCTATTCCAAATCTTTATTTCAGCACTTGTTATCATTTCTAAAAGTTTGGGTCATATGAATTAATTTGTATAATTAATTTGTATGAATTAATTTATACTATGCATTTTGTAAAGACTCATTAAAAATAGCATTTCTGAAAGATAAATATGGTATTAAATACATTTCCATTCTTAGAACTGGCCATTAATGTCAGCATGAATTCAAGAGAAAAATAAATTCAGAAAGTTGTGATTATTTCACCTATGCTGAAGATGACGTACTTGACATAAAATATCTTTAAAATATAAAGGAGGAAAAGTTTAACATTCTTATAATAATCAAACATATGTCAATAATTACAAAGCAGTCTCAACTATTCATCAGGCCAGACCATGGAGGATTTTTACTTGAAAACACTGTTAAGAACTACTCTAAGTTTGTATGAAAATAATTGAACCTTCTTTTCCTTGGTTTTTCACTAAGTCAAACTGGAGTCCCTCCATTTTAGTGAGGTTTCAGAGTACAAAAATTTCTCCTTTTTATTCCTTTAAAATAAAATCACCATTCAGCCTCTCCATTAATTACTAGAGTATCATTGCTAAGTGACACTCCATGCCTAAAAAAGCTGGCTTTTGCAGACCTATTTTCAACTAATACTATTAATAGTTTGAATCCACAAAATCTTGTCAGCTACTCTTCAAATTCCAAACACATCTCTGCTCTGTAAAGCAGGCAAAACGGGCTTAGGCATATAAAAGTCCATGAGATTGTGATGGTGTTCATCCCATTCGCTTGGCAGAATAAGGCGGCACAAAATGCCAACACTCAATGATCTACATCAACCGTGGGCACTGGAGGGCCTGGGCTGGCTGCAGGTCAGTTCTCCAAATCAGTTCTATCCACATGTCTTTCCTAAACTGCTTCTTTGCAGTTTTCAGAATAAGATGGCAGGGTAGACAGGAAAATGCAGACGGTAATGTATTCATTCCAAAGTCATTTAACGTCATGTGTGAACTTTGACAATAAAAGTAACTTTGATTTTCACAGTTCTAGCTATTCTTCGAATTGCACATTAGAACTAGGGTACTAAAAGGAAATTTTGGTGGCATTGACTTAATTTTCATGTGGCAAACTCCCTACTGGCAGCTCAATAAATTGCTATGAAGCTTCATAAACTGAATTCATTTCTAGAAGAAGTTTTGATCTTGTCTCTGCCCATTTAGGAAGGTAAAGGGAAACTCGATTAGATGCAATCGGTTCATCTTTCTGGGGGTGTTGGTACATTTGTCCACTAGACCCAAGTTTCAGGAAATGTAACTGTTTGGTTTGCAGTGTCTTCTAAAATAACTGGGTGAGTGACAGAGAGACTCCCCCCCCCACCCCCACCCCACCCCCACCCCGCAGTTTTTTCCTTTATCCCCTCGCAAGGGTCTGAACCAAAACCTGACTTTTGAGAAGTGTTGGTGTCCTGGTGTTTTGAGTAGCTGGAGGAGGTTTGAACTGAGTGGTGTTTTATTTTCCACTTCAGGGTAGAAACAAGAGGGGATCTCACCGAAGGGAGAAGGGCCGCCCTCCTGTGAATGGCAGCATCTCAGAGCTACAGAAAGGGCTGCGTGTGCTCGGGTCGTGGGCATGTTTTAAAACTGAGGACTGCTTATTTTCTCCCTTCACTTTGAGTTTGGGGAGAGCACAGGGCTTTCCTGCCTGGGTTCAAGGTGGACGCCCACCCGACTCCCTGTGCTCCTGTTACCTCCTGTGCGGACAGTACATGCCCTTCCTGGGCTTTGGTGAGGCTTGGAAAACTGTTTCAAGTAGGAGAGGTTGAGAAATGGGAACAGAAAGCAGCCTTAGGCAACTGGAGTCATAGTCTCTTCACTTCCTTCGTTGCAGATGTGGGAAACCGCTGCTCCCCTAGTCCTTGTCCTTCCTGTCTCCCGAATTGGTGGGGAAATCGGAGTTCTTCTGGTCGCATGGCCAAAGGTAAACAAAAATGTCAAAGTGAGAGGGCGTAAGGGACAAGAGGTGGCTACTGGACGGCGAGGACGACAGCCCAGCATCCGATGGCGAGCCGTGCAATCCGGCCTCCCTTCCTGCCGCTTTCTCCACCCGCGCCGTCTTGCGGGTCTGGTCGCCTCCCACGGAGCCCGGGCTGCGGCGCCAGGAGACGTCCCTACAGGAGGAAGCCCAGGTGGAGCCCCTCCGTCCAGGGACTGACAGTGGCCCCCGCGGGGGCCGCGCCTACTCGCTGTGACCTGTGCTGGGCGCGGCCGCGTGGGCACCTGGGGTCCCGCAGCACCTGAGACCTGGCCCAGGCCTGCGCGGGGCGGGGAGCAGGGACCCCGCCCCCCAAAAACGGGTGTACCACGTCGAGAGCGAGAGGCTCCAGAGACCAGCAGAGCTGAGCCTCGCTTCTGAAATAAGAGGCTCATGATAACCGGATTAAGAAGTTCCTTTATTTTTTTATTTTAATTTTCTTTCAAACAGATACATTACAGTTCATCAAAGAAACTCTCCCATCGCCCAGGCGGGCTCACCATCTCGAAATGGAATTGGAGACATGGAGCCATTGCCCATTTATAATTCGGGCAGAACCGAAAATTCCACCCCAAAACCATTTACTTAAAATAATCATATTTTAGAAACAGTACATCTCTATGAGTGTGCATTTGTTCGCAGTTTTATAGCCTGGGATCCGAGGCCAGACTTTGTGTTGCGTTTACATTGGAGAATAAGCGGTGTTCGCCTGCATCAGTCATCCATGCTGCCTCTTCCCTGGGTCTGGGTTCTCAAGGCTTCCCACCTCTGCGCCCCCCGCCACCCCCCCAAGTCTGGCCCACCACCGTTCCGCCCGTCCGCCACCTGACAGCACCAGGGAGCCTGGCTCAATTTACTCCTAAACTCGTGACAGCCCCTCCCGGGAAAGGGCGTGAGTGGTGCGTGGGGAGGACGGGGAGCATCTAGCGCCGCAGGGAGCAGGTGGGAGCCAGGAATACTCTGGGGCAGGAGAGAGAATGGCGACGCGTGTCTCCCGGTTGTGCACACCCCTTCACCTCTAAAGTGAGACAGAAAATCGCAGCTTCTGTATAAAGGGCTGAAGAGGCAGCAGCGAAAGACCTCTCTGACCTCCGTGCACGTCCTAGGGTAACTCCTGGCAGCTGACAGCTGACGACTTCTTGTCTCAAAGTTACCGAAACTTCCCCGGACGCCCTCGGGAGACACGCGAGGCGGCCCGGGGGCTGGGTAGGGCCTCCGGGACTCCTCGAAAGCAGCTCGCACCGCAGGAGCCAGGCGGGGCGTGAGCCGCGCGAACCTAGCGGGTTCGGGTGGAGCACATTAAAGAGAAAGGGGCGGGATCGGACGCCGGAGGGGCAGGAGGGGCCCGCCCCCGGGAGCGGGGTAGAGCTGGGGGAGCCGGCGGCGGGTGCATCGGGTCGGAAGAGGTGCGAGGAAGTGGAGGGAGACCGCGGCTCCAGGCTCCAGGCACTGCCGCGCCCCGCAGAGCGCCTTCCCCCGCGCCCGGGAGCAGGGCCCGGACTCCCTAGACGTCCAGCCAGCGAGGACCGGGTCTCCCAGGGAATTCCTAGGGAGCGCGGCTGGACTTCACCCCGAGCCCAGGGCAACGCCTCTGCCCCCCGCGCGACCCCCGGACGCGCGCACACTCTACTCCCCGGAGCGCGGCCGGCGCTCTCCCCCGAGCCTTTTCCCACCTCGCATCAGCTTCCTTTCTCTTTTCAAATGTAAGAACCCTCCTTCCCTCCTCCCCACCTCCCTCCGTCCCCGGTCTCTCCTGCTTTCGCCCGGCCGGCATCCCTCCGCCTCCAGGCACGAAGCCTCGGGGCTCAGTACCCAGGCTGCGCAGTTCGCCGCGCCCTCGGCCACCGGGGAGCCCGGGGAAACACACCCGCATCTCCTCGGGTCCCCGTCCTCCACTCTCCATTGGCCCCCCGGTCCCCGCCCTCCATCCTCCCCTCCCCTCCGTGGCCTCCGAGTGGCGTCAGCACGCCCGCTTGACGGCGTGGGGTTTAAATGCCCACGAGCCGGAGCCCGGGCGCCTCTGTCCCGGAGCGAGCGCGGTCGGGGCTGGAGTTGCAGGGGCGCGAGCGGAGCGTGCGAGCGGGAGCCCGAGCCGCGGAGCGCACTGCCCCCCGCTCCTTCGCCGATGACCCCGGAGCTGGGGTCCCAGGGCCGCCCATGCAGCATCCCTGCGCCCCGCCGACCCCGAGTGGATGGTAAACCTCTAAACCGGCTCCGCTGCGGAGAGCCATGAGCTGTCTGGATGTTATGTACCAAGTCTACGGTCCTCACCAGCCTTACTTCGCCACCGCCTACACGCCCTACCACCAGGTACGTGCCCGCGAGGGGCCGGGACCTCGGAGGCGCCGGGGCGTCTGCAGACCCCGAGGCCTGAACCCCGAGGTCCAGGGCGCCTCCGCTCGGGTCCGGGCGTGTGACCGGCGGCAGGCGCCGCCCGGATGCCGGGATGGCCCGCGCTGCCACCCGGTAGATTGAGCTAACTCTTCCGTTTGCTTTCTCGGAAGGCGACTAAGCCCCGCTAATGCGTGTCCCGGGTTTGCCGGGAATGCTCGGAGGAGGATGGCGCCTGCTGGATTGTTTTCTTAGTGTCTGCTGGACTCCAGATTCGTCTGAGCCCAGTGCGGGTGCAGGCAGATGGGAGCAAAGCTTGCCCACGGAAAACCAAGCTTTGGTCCCGACAAAAGCCAAAGCCTGTGTCTGTCTTTCTATTGGAGATGCAAAGATTCTCCTTCTCATCCCTGCAAACTTATATAAGGCATACTTTTTCCCCGTTTCAATGCTCAGACGATCAAGACTATTAATTTCAGAACCAGAGAATTCGTTACAGAGAGTCCCATAGGAAAAGCATTGGTTTTATCATCTTTGCTTTGCACAGTTTTGGGGGGGGGGGGGTTATTACTGGGGTACAGTTGACTGGGCAGAGGCAAACTTCATAGCTAATACTTGACCTTTGAGGAGATGGAGTCGCGAATTGGGCTGCCCTGCCATCAACAAACGCACTGTTAATAAGACCACTTAACCCCGGTTCTGCAAACTCAAGTTTCCTTTAATTATTCCTATTTATCTGTTCTCTGGACTGCGTCTGGTGAACAGTTCTTTCTGTTTCCACAGCTGAAGTAGCGAAAACTGAGGACAGTAGTCCAGGAAAAGACCCAGATCACATCCTGGGGCTCGTGGGAGGCCTGACCAGGTTGGAAAGTGAGGGCCTAGGCTCCTGCTTTGGGGGAATTGAAATACACCCCAATGTCCGACAGAGTCCACGCTTTCACCAATTCTGCTCGCAAATTCAAAACATCTATCTGGCTTTTGCTTTTTTCCCTCCTCCTCCTCTTTTCACTTCCCAGCCAGGAGATTGTTTAGTCTCAATGTTAATTTTAGGATTCATCAGAGCCCCTCATTGTAAGCCAAGCGGGAATGGGGTAGAAGTAGTGATATTGCTAAATGGCTCTTTTGACTTCAGCGTCTGAACCCAGCTCCTTCCCAGGCAAAGAGGAGAGGTGGGGTGGTTTTCTGTCTCTCTGTTCCTTTCTCCTCCCTGGCCCTGGACCAATCTATTGCATGAAGATCTCTGTTCATTTTTGCATGGCCAGGCCATCTCTGCCTGCATAATGCTTTAACGTTACATCCAGTCCATTGCTCATTTCTAAGAAAATGTTTATAGCAGTTGCACTTCATCTTTTAAAATCACTTTCAGTCACTATCTACAGAGCCTCACCGCCAGGATTTTCCGCGGCTCCTTTTTATTACTCATTTCCTCAATGTGCCCAGAGATGGCAAGGCTGGAAATTCTCATAGCCCATTGGTTTTTCTTTACTCAAAATAAAGGAGATCTCTTTAAAAACTGAGACAGACTCTTAAATGGAAAGTATCTGGGCAACCAAACAAATACCCACTAGCGTGTATGACAACGACCCATGTCAGGATGTCATTCACCTGTTTACCCACATGATTCTTTCCTAAGTGGAACCATTTCAAACCTTCCATTCGGCGGCGGGACTTCCTTTGCAGCCTGGGCGTGAGTGGGTTTTCATGAGGATGCTTAATCCCGCCTCTTGTGTTTCTGCCCTGGATTCTCAGGCAGGGGACAACCGGGCCCTAACTGGACTGGGTGCCCTCTACTCATGGAGGCTGGTTTTGAAAAATACACAGGGGCGAGCAAAAGTAGGTTTACAGTTGCGAGTACGGGAAACACAGAGTTTATTCTTGCGTTATTACTTAATGACTATTGTATTATTTATTTGTATTATGTAAGCCTGCTTTTGCCCACCCATGTATATCTGCCTCGAGCCTGGCTCTGTGGTCAAACTGGGCCCATAACCTGGTTACTCAGGCTTCTTCCACAACCCTCACCCTGACACCTCAGAGTTTTGCCTGCGGCCTGGCAGCAATGCCGGGTGACAGAAAGATCAGGAAGGGCAACCTGCTTCTCCGGAAGCCCACCCGTGCTCAGGGGGGGCAGGGTGTGCAGCCCGCATCAGTGAGCACCGCGCTGGGGCGCATATGCCAGTTACCCCCCTGGAAACCTTAGGGATCAGAGGAGCACGTGTCGCTTGAACCCAACTGGCCATCTCTTTTGAAACTGACTACTCTCTTCTTTCTCTCTTGGAGCAGAAACTAGCTTATTACTCCAAAATGCAGGAGGCTCAAGAGTGCAACGCCAGCCCAAGTAACAGCAGCGGCAGCGGCAGCTCCTCTTTTTCCAGCCAGACTCCCGCCAGTATAAAGGAGGAAGAAGGCAGCCCGGAGAAAGAGCGCCCACCAGAGGCGGAGTACATCAACTCCCGCTGCGTCCTGTTCACCTACTTCCAGGGGGACATCAGCTCCGTGGTGGACGAACACTTCAGCAGGGCCCTGAGCCAGCCTAGCAGCTACTCGCCAAGCTGTACAAGCAGCAAAGCCCCGAGGAGCTCTGGGCCCTGGCGGGGTGAGTATGGCAGGGCCTGTAGAGAGGCCCCTCAGCCTGGGGTCCACCTAGAGGGGCTCAAGGAGATGCAACTGAGAGAATCCTAGGTGTCAGGGAAGAAGTGAGGAGGGGCACTTGGAAATGGGTAAGAAAAGCGAAGGAGGAATAGGCACAGACAGAAGGTCTCTCCTGCAGGAGGCAGAGAAGAGCAGAGCATTGACCTAGAAAAACGCTAGCCTTGGGATTGGGAGGCCTGGGCTGGCCTGTTGGTTCCACCCTGCTTCCTAGCACTATGACCTTGGGCAAGTCTCTTAACCTCTTTGAGGTCACTCTATTTACTGGTCTCTAAAATTAGAATAATACTTGCCCTCCTAACTATCCCTGGAGATGGTCCTAAAGCAAACAGAAATGTATGTAAATGCACTGTGGAAATGTGAGGTTTTCAGGGCCCTTACCCAGTTTCTGAAAATTTGCCCAGAATAAAAAGTCTTAGGCCCCACTGCCAGCAAAAGAATGTCTCCTAAAACCTACCTGTGCCTTTTTCTCAGGTTTCAATTACTTGGGAATTCTTGAAGCAGAAAACATCTTTCAAATAAGCAAATAAAGTAGCAAGGAAATGAGTATTTAGGTACAGCCAAAACATCCCTTTATTGTTCTATCCTTCCCAGAAAGCACTGCTTTATCTAGTTTGGGACCATGATTTCTTGGACAAGTCAACTACATTTCCCTTCTATTCTGAAATCTCAACTTCCCTTATTACCCAGACAAGGGTAGAGTGAACTATTTGGTAAACTTTCTCACTAAGCTTAGTTTTTAATATGTACCACACTGAGAAGTCAGGACTTTGTTGTAAAAAGGAAAACAAATATTGCATTTTGGAGGAAATGACAACCCTTACCCTCCTTTTTTTTCTTTTTTTACCTTGAGTGTGAAAGTTTGTAAAAGCCTTGCCTAGACAAGCTCCAAAAATATTAGTTTTGAATACAGAACATTCTTTTTATTATTCAGGTGCCTAAATGTCTTTAAGAGGAAGACTGTTCATTACTCGGAATGTATTTTAAAAGTATTTTAAATTCCCTAGAATGTGTACAGATGCGTTCCCCAGAGGTGCTCAATAAAGGCCTCTTGAGTTAAATGTCTTTCTTTCCCTCCCTCCTAACTGAAGGCAACAAATTTGATCTAAATGCTGTTCTCTTAAAATGCTCCCAGACTCTAGGGATCAACAGTGATCATAATAACAATACTAATAATAAATTATAGGAGTGGCATCCACACTTTGAGGCACAAAGTTTGTTAAAACTTAAAAGACCTTCCCTTCGCATCCCTTGGTGCAAATAATACAGCTGCCCTTTTAGTGTGTCTAGTTTACTGTTCTGCTCGAGTTCTTGGAAAAAATATCTGAAAGAAGGTTTCTAGAAAGGAGGCTAATAATAGCAAGACTTCGAAATATGTCTATGGACTTCTAGTCTATCAGAGACGCATTTTCAAGAACAAGGGAGGCTGAAACGCGAGAGGGGGCAGTGAGATCGCCAGGCGGCCGACCAAGAGCGGGAAAACGAATCTTCAGCTTGAGCAGCTGCGGGTTGGAGTAGGGAAGCCGCGTCGGCCCCAGGCCGCGGAGGCAGCTCGGGAGGAGTTAGGTGCAACTCCCTGAGCCCGAACCTGGGGCTTGGGGAGGAGGTCCCTCCGCTCTTCCGCTCCCCGCCACCCCCCAACCCCGGCTCTGCAAAATCGAGGGAGCGGACCTGCACCCCATAGGGTTCCCGCGTTTTTCGGAGCCGGTCCCTGGAATCCACAGGCTGCAGCCCCCTCTGGAAGGCGCCGCCCCAAAGGGTAGGCTGCCGATCCGCCCCCAGCGCCGCTTTCCGGCCATTGGCGGGCCCTGCGCTTTCGGCTCTCCCCGCTGCCCTCGGGGGCCCGCAATCGCGTTTCCCGGGGCTGACCAGCTCTTTCTCCCCTTCCCTCCCCTCCTGCTCGCCGGCCTGCAGACGGCTCCTACCCGGATGAGCCAAGCGCAGCTTCCCCCGCTCTCCTTTTTGGAACGTACCAGGCGCCGGTGGGTGCCCCGCGCCGCTGGGCAGCCCGCTGGCCCGCCGCGCAACTCCGGAGCTGCCCTTTCGCCGCCGCCGACCCCTACTCGACGGCCGCCCTGCACAGCCACCTGCACCAGGGCGCCGCGGAGACCTG